GAAATCTTTAGACTCAGGATGTACGAATATGTTTATTGTGATCTAATAAATACGTAGCTTATACCATTGCCTTAATTTCTCTTGAAGCCATTATGAATACTTGCGTACATTTGACGAGTTAGAAATCATCTATTTAAACGGTGTTCCTATTTCCTATGTATCCTGTTATTTCAATTCTTTAACGATATTTACAACGTTTCTCTAAAGCTTTGCGTTTCAGACAATGCGTTTAGTTTAGTGTTTATTGGTATGTTAGGCCTAGCTATCAAATCATAAGATGTAGGCCATAGATTTAGGGTTATGGTTAAATATTCTCGATCAAGCAAAAATATGGTTATTACGTTTCCAAAAGAAAGTCTCTAGAGAAGTGGATGCATGAAGCTTCGTTTTCGTCTGCCATAAGGAAATTTAGTTTGTTACAATACCTTTAGTACACCAAAACATTTCAATTATATAACATAAAAAAACAACATATTTTCGTATTCAATTATCAAATTTTTTAATACTTTCTTTTTATTATTCGTCGTTTGTTATCGTATACGGTTATGAAAATCACACCTCATTAGTCGAAATTGTGATGTAAAAATACACCGGAGGAATAAAAACTGTGATATGCTTCTTGATAAAAATTTTATCAAGTGTGAAAAGGGCTATAATTAAAAGCTCGAGCAAAAGGCTACATAAAGGGCTATTTGCACTAATCGTTCCAAATTTTGAACGATAGATTAGAGGGAAGGCAACTTTTTAATACCACCCAAAACTATCTCTTATATTTTTTGTTTTAACGCTAACGGTACACGTATCACGGACCCTCGGGCGCACATGCCAACACGTTAACAACTAGGCCCACTTTTGGCTGAAGAAAATCTAGAAATCAACTGTTTCCTGCCGAAAACTTGATTCTTCTTATCGTGTCCAACATCTAAGCAAAATTAATATCTAACGAATATCGGTTGCTACCTGAACCAATTAAGGTGTCCATGGTGGAAACAAAATTAACACTTAACCAATATTAGATATTACCTGAACAAATCAAGGTTTCCATTATGTAAATAGAATGAAGATTTAACCAGTATTGGATGTTACTTGAGTAATTACCCTGTGTGTTGCTTAACACGCCACCAAAGGGCGATATGTGTCGACCCAGGCAACAGAGGGGAGGGAGTAGAGACGGTGGCATTGTAGTTCTACGAAGTGGTACCAGAGGGCGCGTTGTTTGGGGAATGTTGCTAGGCCAACATGACACTTGACAATGTTTGTTTGTTTGTTTTTGAATTTCGCGCAAAGCTACACGAGGGCTATCTGCGCTAGCCGTCCCTAATTTAGCAGTGTAAGACTAGAGGGAAGGCAGCTAGTCATCACCACCCACCGCCAACTCTTGGGCTACTCTTTTACCAACGAATAGTGGGATTGACCGTCACATTATAACGCCCCCATGGCTGAAAGGGCGAGCATGTTTGGTGTGACGGGGATTCGAACCCACGACCCTCGGATTGCGAGTCGAGCGCCCTAACCACCTGGCCATGCCGGGCCGCACTTGACAATGGAAGTTGTCTCCTACCAGAATATTCGTTGCTAGGAAATGTCACGTGACATCATAGTTCGAGTGTTACTTAATAGAAAAGGTGTTGCTAGGCCACGGAGTGGTATCAGAGAGCGCATTGGTATGATGAGTACCCAGATAGATAAACTTTATAGTAACAATCCAAGTCTTAAAATAAATATTTTATCTAATTTTACATAACATTATATTTACAATTATCACAATTACAGTTTTGCTTTACAAGTAAAACATTAAATCTGCTATTTTAATCTTATCAACTTTATAGTTTTCACTTACATACGTTGTACCAAGGCTGAAAGTGCTTCCATAGGCGGACGGTGTTATCAAGGTTCTATAGACGGATTACGCGAAATCCTAGCAACGCGATTTCTGGTAGCAGACAAGTTTCGTTGTCAAGTGTCATGGCGGCTTAGCAACATGACCCAAGCTGACAGTGCTTCTATGGGCGGACGGTATTATTATTACAAGGTCCTACTGACATTCTGTGGGCGGACGGTCTTACTAGGCTTACTGTATGTGTTTCACAAAGGCGGATGGTGTTTTTGGCAGACAATGTTACCAGTGTTTGTGGAACTATGATGTCACCGTCTCTACCCCTCCCCCTATTGCTTGGAGTCGACACACGTATCGACCTCTGGTGGTCTTGCCATGCAACACGCGAGGTAACTACTCACCCGAACCCTATCAAGGTGTCCATGATGTAAACAAAATAGATAAGTTTCGATCACCATACAGTCAGATTTAGTTTCGTATTAATTTTTTTCACTCCTAAAGATTGGGGAATATTGGTATATACTAATTACGTCACATTTTAAAGCCCACCAGTGGCACAGCGGTATGTCTACGGACTTAAACACTAGAAACCGGGTTTCCATACCCGTAGAGGGCAGAGTACAGATAGCCCTTGTGTACCTTTGTGCTTAATTACAAACAAACCAACACTTTTTGAAATGGCTTTCACAAGAGAACGTTAAACCAGTGATGGACTTAACACACACACACACATACATTATTCAAGCCTAAAGACAGTTAGTATGTGAGTTGAAAAACTTTTCAGAAATATTCTATATAATATTTAACAGTTGCATCCTTTTTAAATCAATCAGTGCCGTACACAAAGATACTGGCTCGAAATTTTAGTTGTTTATGTATGTAGAAAATTACAAGATACGCTCACATCTTAAGAGCAGGTGTAAAGGTTTAAAGCTGAAAAACTTCATATTCTCCCCCCCCCCCTCAGTGGCACAGCGGCATGTCTGCGGACTTACAACGCTAGAATCAGGGTTTCAATACCCGTGGTGGGCAGAGCACAGATAGCCCATTGTGTAGCTTTGTGGTTAATTACAAACAAACAAATCACTTCCTTACTTTTTACAAGAAATACGTGGATATTTGGTACAGTTTAATCTGATGCAAAGTGGACGGTATTACAAATAAATTAAAGTATTCGTTTTTCCATGTGCTTAAACAGTTTAATGACTAAAATACAAGCTTTATAACCCCAAAAAAATCGGGTTTCAATGCCCGAGGTGGGAATAATAAAAATAACTCACTGTACAGTTTGTTTGTTTGTTTGGGTTTTCGC